TCTTTCTCATCAAGTGGTTTTGATAAACCTAGATCAGTAATATATGCTTCATAATCTTCTTTTAACAAGATATTTCCTGGATATAAATCTCGATATAAATATCTTTTATTATGAATACGGCAAAAATTAAATATAATATTATGAAGTATCTTTTCCATTCAAACTTAAAGATATTAGCAAGATTTTTGCTTAATGACCCATATTTTGTGTAACTCATTACTAAAATATAATTGTCCGTTTTTTCGTCTCTTGATATTCCTAGATATTGTCCTAAGCTATGACAAGCTTTTAACTAAAAAAATAAATAATTAAATAATTATATATAAATTATTTAAATAAAGATAAATATTAAAAATACCTCATTTAAGAATAGAACTTTATTCTTATTAGAATCTTTTACGATCTTGATTGCTACATCTTCATATGACCCAGATTAATTTAAATATTTGGTTCTAAAAACAGTAGAAAATGCTTCTTTACCTATTTCTTCGATATTTTGGAATTTATTATATGCCATCCAATAAAAAAATCTGTCTTTTCCTCTAGTAGTTTTAGCTTGTTTAGTGATAGCAGATTTTAAGAAATCTTGTATAGTTATTAAAATCTGTACATAAAAGTAGAACAGAATAAAAAATATAACAGCAACAATATTGTTATAGATAGTGTTATATAAAGTTCTCACCTAATTGGTTGGCTTTATGGCCATTTCACCTACAAGCCATTTAATTTACATCACACAAGCAACTAATAATTAATTAAATACTGGATTAATAAAATAAAAAATTCGGGTGATATAGACTAAATTCAATTATTGGCTTAATAAAATAAAAAGTCAAGATGATATAGGCAAAATTAAAGAACAAATTAATTATTTTTTAAAAGCTAAATCTTACCCTATGTGATATAGATTACACCTTTTTTTCAAATAGTGACCCCTGCCGATTATCTCTATCGGCAAAATTCTCTAACTAACAAATAAAAATTCTCAAGATTCCTCTTCAATTCTTGCTTTTCTAATATTGTATCTAGTTATATACAAAAATTGGCCATAGATTTGGCCAAATAAAATAGGGAATTTTGTACTTTTATTTTGCTATTCGTAACCCATACAAATTAAAGTTTTTTTTGAACTTTGAGCGACAATATCTCGATAGCAACCAAGTCAAACTCGATAAACTTTTTTTTATTTGAATTCTAATAATGCATAGAATTCAAATAAAAAAAAGTTTATCAAGTTTAACTTGGTTGCTATCGAGATATTGTCGCTCAAAGTTCAAAAAAAAATACATTCAAAAAAGAGTGGGTTAGAAAAATAAAAGAAAGAAAAAAAAATTGGTTAAGGAAAAAAAAATAAAAAATAAAAGACTTAAAAAAAAAAAAAAAAAAAACTCTCTTTCTAACATCTTATTTTTTTCAATATCCCATTTTTTTTACCTCCCAATTTTTTTACCTTCTAATTTTTTTTATATCCTATTTTTTTTGTACATTAAATTATATATTAATATAAAATTTCACTTTGTGTAATATTAATACAGACAAGTTATATCTATAGTTATGCATTTATGTATTATACAGTATAATACGTATAAAATATGAAGAACTACGTAGTTGTATTTCTATAATTTCTATATTAGCTACGTGTTAATAATAATAATAAAATAAATTATTAATATTTGTCTAATCATCTTACAAATGTAAATTGTTGGCAAAATTTTTTCTATTTTGTGAGGGTACGACAATATTTTTTGTTATACTGTCCAAAGTTTTGGTCTTTTCCGGATCTCTAGCAATATAATTAATGATGAATGCCTTTTTAATAAACTGGCACAAATAAAATAGAGAGTTCTCTGCTTTTAATTCATCCATCTTTGTAGCGTTTAGCCATCTTTGCAACACAGTCTCCATTTTTTTTTCATCAATAAACTTATCTACATTTTCTTTTTTTGGTAAAGTGGAAGTACCTTCTTTAAAAAAAAACTATTAAATATAAAAATAAGAATCATAAAACAAACAAAAGATAAATTTACTTTGTTGCTTTAAATAATTCGATTAAATCCTCTGTTCCATCAAGTAGTTTATTTCAAAAAATGCCTATTTCTGACTCTCAACCATTCTATACCATCGGCTAAATTAAGATCACATTTGATAATTTGTCTAACCAATTCCTCAATTGTATTTTTATGGGGATTTCGAACTTAAAGAAAAAGACATTTTAGTTCTTCCAGAAAATCATGACCAGCTTTTATCTATAATATATATTTGTTAATAATCTTTAATTCCTCAATTCAAATTATAAAAAAATCTTTTGATTTTACTTTATCATTCTGAATTGCTAGTTGTGATGTGATTGGTAATAATTGGGAAGTGAAGAGCGATCCATCTACAACTGATGATTGCATAGATATATTCATACTATTCGTGAGTTGTAAAACATTTTGATTTTTGCATAGCCACAGACATAGTTGATAAATTGTCATTTCTCTAAACGCTGATGGAATATTGGGAGTGTTTAGCATGAATGAATTATCTGAATTAAGTGCTTGTAATGATCCTGAAGATGCAGGTATAAGAGAGCAAAATGCAGGTCTATTGGAAGGAATAAAGTCATCATTAAAAATGCTTGTAGCTTGTTGTGTTGGACGTTTTTAAGATGCAGATATTGGAGGTCGTGATACAGTTTTATATGAAGAAATAAAATCATCACTATGAATACTTATAGCTCTTGTTACTGAAGGTCTTAAAGGTGCCGAGATTAATGTACTATTAAAATCATCTAAAATAATAGCTCTTGATCTAATATGAGATTAAAAAAATTCCGTCACTTCAATTTCGCTATTATAACCTATATCCTTGTCATTATGATTTGGTTCAATACTATCGTCAAAACTATTTAAAATATTATCAATGGTTTGATTATCAACAACTGGAGTAACTGTATTTTGATTTTTTTTATATGAAGTAACAGTTGCATCATTTTTTTCGTAACTAGCAATATGTAATTTTTTTGATTTTTTGCTTTTTGAGTTATCGATACTATCTAAAGGATCATCGTTATCATTTAAAGATAAAGAAGTAACCACTTTTTTTTTTTTGCAACCTTGTTTATTAGCAGTATTTGTATTTAATTTTTCGTTTGCAAGTTTTTTAAAAGTTCTAGTACTCATTTATATTTATATATCAGGGTTAATTAATGGCTTGCACCACTAAATAACCTAGTTTAGAAGTTGACTACTATAAACTTTTGCCTAAAGCAAATTGGGATTTTAACAACAAAGATAAGTGTTTACTTTATATTTGGTTACTTTTTTACTTTATTATCAAAGAATAATATTTTTATTATTATTTTCGCTTTTACTTTAATATGTTTTAACTATTATATCATAATTTGATTACAAATTTCTAGCTCTTAAATTGATTACATATTTCTAACTTAATATTTTATGCATAGGTCTTATCTGACTTCAATAAACTTTTATTGATTATATATTTCTGACTTAATATTTCATGCATAGGTCTTATTTGACTTCAATAAACTTTTTCATATTACTGACTTTTGCATAATTGATTTGATGTTTACAATTCTTCCCAGATCACATATATCACGTATACATGACAATTTATTTACTTTAACTTTCTTTGATTTAAAGTCATATATTAAGATTTGTATACATAATTTTTTTATTATTATTATTATTATCTCAGAGATCCCTTTACTTAGTATACCATATACTTGTTTTGTTATAACAGTTATAAAAAAAATAATAAAAAATATTAATTGAAAGTTTAAGAGTAGGAGGCATGTCGATTATTTTTCATATGATTTTAGTAGTAAAATTTTTTCTTTTGAAAATAAAAAAATATTTTAATTAATATATTATTACAAATTAAATAAAAGTTGTAGAATAGGTTCTTCTGATTCTAATAGTAGTAAAATTATTAAAATTGGTTAAGTATTCATCAAGATAATTATATTTAAAGATTAAGTATTATTTTTTATCATATGATAATCATATGATATGAACCAATCAAAATCAATAATTTTGTGTAACTCCAGAAAATTTGGGATCACCCCGGAAAACTTTGCTATATATACAAGTATATTTTTTAAAATATTATAACTATTAAAATTATACTACTATAAAGTGCATATACTAATTTATTTACTACAAAAATTTTATAAAAATTAATTACAACAGTGAAAAGTTTTATTAATAGCATGTTTTGATTTTTTGCAAAAATCACGTTATACTACAAATATCATATGATAAATGATCAACATGCCTCCTACTCTTAATTATATTTATATAGTAATTTAATTTACGTACGTACTTACTATTTACTATATTAAAATTTAATAATAAAGTATATAAGTATCTTGACCCTGAATTTATTGAGTTATGATCATAATCATAATGCATAAATTAACAAAACTATATCGATATTAGTGTATAAATCAAGTAATTACCATTTTAAGATTCTTAAAAAAGTTGGTTATTTAAGTAATTATTTTTTAATAAAAAATTGTTTTTTGTCAAAAAAACTGCTATGTATATATATATATATAATTTTTTTTTTTTTTACAATAAATCTTTAATATGTATCACAACCATTATAGTTCTTTTAACTATCATTGAAATTACATAAGAAACCCATATAAGAAATTAGAGATACTATCATGTGCTAGATTAAATAATAGAAGAGATATTAAAATAAATAGTAATAATCATATATATTTCTTAATAAAGCAACATTATCTAACTAATTTATAGACCAGGTGATATATATGCAAGAATATAATACTTTTAATAATGCTTACAGTGAAATAGAACTTGACAATAATGAATGGATAGATTATGTATTATCTGATAATATGACAAGCAAAGAATTTAATAAAGAAGCTTCAAGTGAAGATTCTATTAGCAATGAAGCTTCAAGCAAAGATTAAGATTCGATTAAAGAATTAAATTATGAAAATTCAAGCGAAATATCTAATAATAGTAAAATAATAAATGAAGAATCTAATGATTGTACAACGAATGAAGAGGGTCTTGATAAAATTGTTGATAAGTTCTTAAGTAGAGAACAAATGCCATCAATTAGCGGAGAGTTTGCACCATATTTCAATAATATCACAGAAATATTAATGTTTTGTTGGGTTGAAAAACACAATATACTGTATGTAGGTTTAACTTTATTTAAGCTTGATTAGTTTTTTTTTTAAAAAAAAGAACTTCTATATTTATATTTAGCTACCCATTCATATAACGAATTGGTGGATATAATTTGTCATCTGCAATTCAAAAGTACAGATATTACAACAAATATTTGACGATTTAGAAAATATAGACAAAGATTGTCTTTGCTTCCAATTAGGTCACGATATATTCATATCTCTGACAAAAAAACACCTTTTACATCCTGAAAAACAAAAGAGATATACTATTTATCTATTACTAATATTATTTAGTACGCCTTAAATAACCCTTTACTACTTAGTCAAATATATTTTGGGCTGGGCCAACAAGTAGAAAAAAATCAAGAGCTTTGGCATGGTGATATTTAAAAAGAATTACTATGATTTGGAAAAGCATCTATTAAAATTAATAAAAGTAAATTAATTAATTTACTAAACTGATATCTTAATATTGTTTTTTTTAATCATTCACTTACTTTATATTTATAGCAATATATAATTGTGGAGATTTTGTAATTTATAAAGAATCATCAACAAGAGTTAGTAGAATTTTAGCAATCATAAAGATAGATGATCTACTAAAAATAAAAATTCAACGTATCCTAATATTTAATGAATTGCCAAACAACTTGCAAAGCAATAATCGAAGAGAAAGATCATGTGGATGCGAAGTGTGGCTGCTAGATTGAAATGAGGAAAATGCTATTATAACTGTAGAACTATATAAAATTGTCAAACACATTATAGTTACTATACTTTATAATGAAAATGAAATTAATGAATTTTCTTCAATTTTAATTTGTGAAATTCTCTACAAATATCAAGGGCATTGGAAATTAAGAAATATTGTATATTCCTATCAACATCCCTCTGAATTTGTGGCATTAGAAAATCTATTAATAAGTATTCCAGTTTATAAGTTATATATTGATCTGTATTACGATGACTTTGGAACATTTCACAATATCTATCACTTACTAGGTAGTGTATATATTCAAATTGGAAATTTATCCTTTGATAAAAGAAGGCAACTTAGAAATCATTTAGCGCTTGGGTTTGTTCCGTTTGGGGGCAAATTTGATGAATTTATTGAACCTTTTGTTGCTGAGATGAAACAACTAGAGAAAGGAAAGATAATGGATATGAAAGGAAGTAAATGCCTTGTAATTTCAGCAAGTTTTGGAGATGTAATAGCAGATTTGCCACAAGGCAATAATCTGGCTGGAGTTAAAAGACATGGGCTACAAGAGGGTGTTGTACTTGTAATGCAATAAAAAATTCCTGGACATCAGATAATATCAATTTGGCATTGATTTCTCGTTATCACCATCTTACAAATATTCAATTTGGTGAAATTTCAGCAGCACCAACAATTACAAGATGTAAGGAAATTGCTGCTGAATATGGATTGCGTATCAAATCACTAATACTC